ACTTGGTCCGAAGAGATTGCCACTCGCCTCTTCGTCTCAATAATACGACCAATGCTAGGGTATGGGTCTCCCGCGTATTGTCCTATCACACGGCGTGAGGTAGAAAAGATCGAGCGAGTGCAGCATGTAGCCACCAGGCTGATTCCCAACTTACGAGGTGTGCCGTACGAAGACCGGTGTAAAAAACTACACCCTAGCTTATCGTCGAATGAGGGTTGACCTCATCATGACTCACCGGATATTACATCTGGTTGATTACCCTATGTTGAGACCACTGCTTCATATGCGCAAACCAAGCAGCACACGAAAACACCGGTATAAGCTTGATGTAACGGATTTGAAGCGGGTCGCTCAACAACTCTGTTTCGAACGCAGAGTGGTGAATGTATGGAATGAAATGCCGCAGCACGTAATAAAGGCAAAGTCAGTGTCGGAATTTAAGAAGTTGCTTGACGAAGACTTTGCCGACGCAAAATATATAGAGCGGAACACAATATAACGGGTAAATACTCCATGAGCGACGATCGATGCAGCTACACAGAGCAAGCTCTACTCGCTGCTTCGAACCAGTAATAAGTAATCACCACCATCCTCTTCCTCCTCATCATCATCATCACTACCACCACCACCATTATCATCATTATCCACCATCAGTATATAGGTTAGCTAGAGGTGGGAAACACCTCAGCTACTGTGCCGCAATACATGAAAGAAAAGGAAAATAAATACAACAGTTGCATGGCGGTTGAGCTACCAGCAACGGATAGGCATCGTTCCGTTAAGCTGCCAGCCGTCCACTAGGCAGCAAGAAAAATTATTATGAAAGATTATATTACGCTACGAAATGAGATCGTTGTTGGAGTGGAAGTTAAAAGGGGTAGGGAGAGACAAAGAAACTAACAGCACAAACGCCACTGAGGTCCACTCCTTGCCATGTTAGCAAGTATATCCAGCCAAACGTGTTCATGGTCTTTCGGACCCAACCAGGGAGCCGAGACGCTCCAACCGAGGCCAGCACATAAGTGAGGGCCTCCATTTCTCTGGACCAAATCATCGCTTCGCCGCCCCTCTTCTTTCATCCACACCCCAGGAGCGCAAACAACGCACGTCGCGGAAGTCGGTGGGCTGGCATGCGTAACACGTGCCCGAGCCATCGGAGTATGGTGCGTGAAATGACGGTGCTGAGCGGTTCATTTCCTTTTCCTGTGCCATAAACAAGGCGTCGAACACACTCGTTACTCACGCGGTGTTCCCACCAGACGTAAAGCAAATTGCGAAGGTAGCGGTGCTCGAATGTAAGTAGCTTCTTTATGTCCGTTGATCTAAGGGGCCAGGTCTCACAACCGTACAGTAGGGTCGAACGTACCGTTGCAGTGTACAATCTACCCTTCAGAGCAAGAGTGATGTCGCGCCGGCGCCATAAATGGCGAAGGTTAGCAAAAGCACTTCGAGCTTTTGCTATACGGTTCGTGATCTCATCTTCTATCCCAAGGACGCTGATACAACTGCCCAGGTAGTTGAATTTTTGAACGACTTCTAGCTGATCCCCACCAAGGGTCAGCACAGGAGGCGGTCCAGGTCAATCTTGGAAAAACTCTTTGCACTTCGATGGTGCGAAGCAAAGCCAGAAGTGACGGACAGTCAGTGCCAATCTGTCCAGTACAACTTGGCACGTTTGGGAGCTGTCACAGATTAGGGTAATATCGTCAGCATACTTCAAGCCAAGAAGTCGTTCTACGTGGGAGCAGATCCACACCTTCTGACTCGTGTCCTGTGAATGCGATTTCCATTACTTTGTCAATACTGAAATTAAAGAAGAAAGGTGACGGCGGGCCTCCTTGTCTCACACCACTGAGTGGATCTATCTCTCCGTGCAATCTGCAGACACACAGGAATGTTGCTGCTGTGCATCTTGAAGGAGTGTGGCCCGGCTCCGTTGTTGAAACATGGCTACCATCCGCATGCCTCACGGCCTTATTCTTTCGGGTTTACACTGGATATGGGGTAGGTAAATGGAGCCTTGGGTGGCGCAGTGCAAGCTATAAGCTATATGTAGGCGCATAGCTTCCTGTGGTTGTCCCCATGAAGGCGGCAGTGACAGGCAAATTGGCAACAGAAGATGGCCAACCATATACATTGAAGTCACCTACGGCTAGAGTCATCCAGGTCATAGCTATCGAGGACCACGCATCTAGACAACATTCACATCGAGCGCGACGGCCACCTAACTGAAACAACATAAGCACACAAACATATGAAGGAACCAGCAGCCATAATTAGGCATCATACATGTCTACCGCACTGTCAGACTACGTTGGTAAACGCAAGTGCAATTAGCGTACTAACCACTTATAATTCAACTTACTCGTCGCTTCTTCGCCACCAATACACGTCACAGGAAAAATATCAGCAGTATGCCGGTACGTAGCGCCGACTCTTCGACGCCGTGCAAACACCACCAGTCGCACATGGGCTAAGGATACCGCGAAGGTCGTCCTGCCCCTACGCAGGCTCGAATCCGCGCCGCCAGATTATAAGACAAGCTTGCTGTGGGCCCGCAATACATGACACAACCTGGTCTCGGGGCAATTCCTAGCTATCACTGCACGGATTCACACTTCGGCCACTATCCGGTGAGTTGACCTATCCGGTCGTCACACGACCTATTCCTTATTCACAATATCCGGGTTCACTTTCCCATCAGATATCGATTGCTCTTGTATAGCGATGTGTATTGCCACATTATTCACACTGTTGCAAGACCACACCTATGAGAATGGCAGGTTTCACGGAGCCGGGGTCAAACTGCTTCCCACCAATTCTCATCAACCGGTACATTTCTGCCCGACCCTTACTGTCTAGGAGAATGAGTGCATGATGGCTGACTGGTAAATCATTGAATACGAAGCTATCCTTCGATGTTACAACGTCGTTCAACTCCTATTGGCCATTCCTTCCGAAGTATGAGTCTTACTTGGTTCTAGCTGGAATCTTTCTCCGGATATAGTGATGTATTTTATTTGTCTGCTTGCTACACGTGGGAGGAGGAGAATCAATGAACATGGTCTTGCTCATCATCGCCAGTAGCAACAACAAGTGATCTGTCTGTTGTGCTAGAGCTTCAGCAACATGCGTTCATTAAATGAGAGAGAGAGAGAGTGGACGTTTCTGTACGGGATAGGCAATGGGATTAGGAGGGACCTGAAAAAATTAACAAACATTCATAGTCGTGTTACCTGCACTGTCAACACTGTCATAAATGGCTTGATACCATGCTGACGCTTTCGACGTGACGTCATGACCGACTTTACTGTGGCACTAAAGCAAGCAATTTGACCAGAAAACGATAGCAGGCACACAGATTGCGTAAGCTGGGTTTCTTGTCTTTTGATGTTTTGTATCAAATAAAGAGATGGTCGCGTTGACCCCAACCTGGTAAAATAGACTAGCCCGCAGCAATAGATTAGGCGGCAATGTCTTTATTACCCGTTGTTATGCCAATAATTGCACTTTTAAACCTCTCACTTCCGAACTTTCAGCAGTATAAATCCCCCTCTCTGTAACCAGACAGCTGACATGCGCAACCTGTGTGTTCGCCATTTCGCACCTTTTGATAATCCTCACCATCCCGCATCTCACACATATGCCAGAGTCACACAGCTTTGGCATTACGCTATAGCTACACGACCACTGTTGTCTCTTTTAATTTATCTCTAGCGTTGACAATTGTCTCAACATCCGAAGTCCGTTGAAACTCGCTTGCCTCACAAACTTTTGTGTTAACATGACAAGATAACAGCCAATAGCCGTCAAATTTGTATTACTCACTCCTTAGTTCGGAAGTCAGTTTTCAGTGGCCCTACAAGTCCGCCTTGTTTGCTTCGACTCCTTGCCATACGGGCAGTTGGATCAGTTAACGGGGAGGCAGACGACCCTCTCAACATCGGATGTTAACAGTTGCTACCGGTTGTTGTCTTTGCTAGCTTATTAGCCATACAACTCATACAGATTGCCGGTTTATTCTGTAACTTTCGGTGAGACTGTTTCCTCCGAACCACAACTGCGGATACGCCTGGTGATGCACTGATCTGCCACAGTAATCGAGCTGTTTCTCGACATTTATGGTTAGCGTCAGCAGTTCTCGGATGTAGCTGTCACTGTGACTGCAAACAGGTACAAGACGCCTGCGCCTACCGAGGAACAATGTGTGGCTTGAACTGTACCACTTACGGGTCAATCCACACACATTATATCCACGTAAACTCGAAGGAAAAGGACTGCGTGGCGAGTGGATGGGAGCCATAATTGAATCGAAGCTGTCTCACATTCTTTCTACGTACACAACGTAGATATGAAAATGGGGAAACAGGGCAGTGGACTGGCCGTAGCCCGTTCCATGCTGGATGAGATCACTGTTTAAACCTAGCACTATCACGAAGGCTGTGCATCCAGTCTTACCTGGTAACGATCAGAAGTCGCCTGGAGCCAATCATCCAATTCGTGGCTATCGACGGCCAGAAACATTCGCATTGAACGTGATGAGATTTTGGATACAAGCTATGGATGGCTATAAAAATATCGTGGCAAGGTAGGCTCACAAACACATGTAAATACCAATGGCATCGAGGCTGCCGTACTTATGTCACTTCTACTGCACTATCGGCCTGGTTCAGTAAATGAAAATGTGCAATTTGAATAGCAGAGATTACAATACCGGATTTCAGATGAAGCAGGATGGTAGCACAAGCGCGGAGCACGTTCTCTGACAAGTAAGCTTATCTAGGAGCATTCGTAACCTCTGGTTGGGAAGGACTAGGAGCAATCAGTTGAAATGGGTGAGATAATGCTGTCATGAGCCAAAGGCTGAAGATAACAACATGCGTCCGTGAATGCCAGCAGTGTTCGGTTTAGAGGAACCAATTCTGGGTGAAACATAACGGGGTTCACAGTAAGCAATGATAGGAATGGATAAATATCACAATACTCGGACAGACACTCACCATCCATGTAGTAATAGCTGCTGCCTTGTGCGTCTTGACCAGCTTTGATGAGGACATTGACATCCTCCGGGTCGGGAAAGTCACTCGCATCACCAGATAGGCCATCCACACCATGTCCAAACAACGACGCGCTGGGGTCTGTGTCACCCGAGGTTAGACTGCCAGCAGTCGCGGAACGCGCACCGTTTGGCAGGCCGGATGTGACGACTGGGTTCGAATTGTTAAAACCGGAAGTGAAGTTGAAATCCGGCTGCTCATCGTACACCGTCTCGATTAGATTGTCTAACAAAGCGGCTCGAGCTGTGGGCCCAAGCTGGCTCACCGGTTTCCCATTTCGATGGCGTTGCATGTTGATGCGATACGGAGTTCGTTTGTCCATGGTGAAACGATCCAAAGCCTGGTCCACCGTATCGATGCAGATGTCTGGATTGCCGTGACTGAGAAAACGTAGAATTCGGGCCACAACATCGCAAAATGCAGTCGCATCCGGGTCTTTCACAACACGCTGATACAAATCCTACGGTAGGGTGAAAAAGGGACAAACTGTGTAAAAACACGCGTATAAGAATAAGACGGAAGTGCGCACCATTTGACACGGTCGAGCACAACAACGTGTAGCACTGATGAGAACAGAGGAACACGACTGTAGGTTTGCATAAATACGGCTCCCTCACAAGCCATGCCAAGGAATGGCAACATGGGCCACTACTGTCTGTCGTAATCTAGTGGTGTCATTAACTGCCTCGCAAAGCGAGCATTGCCGGTGCGTGTCGTTGACGGACTCAATGCACAATTCAAGTGAGTGGATGAGGGAGAAAACGACGAGGAAGTGATCTATTAGATGGGCGGTAAATGTCACTGGGTTTGGCTGAGTGAATCTTGCTCAAAAAAGTGATCAACTCGAGTTCCTAGTCAAAACAAACAGGTATCATGTAGTCGGTGATGATGGAACGAGTAGGACGTCGCGAACAGTGCCATCATAACGAAGAGTAACAGACGGACTATGTGAGCGGGCAATGCTAAGATAGCTGGCTTGTCTTCAGCCGGGTATGCCTACGTAAAAGCTTACGCGCACCGATCCAGTGGTTCTGTGTTAAACCAAATAGGTGTGGTAACAGGTCGTGAGGTAGAGCACCGAAACGTTCGATAAACATAGGGGTTGAAAACGTCGGTTACGCCACATGTCATGTAAAATCGTAGCTCCGCGAGTCCTAGGTACTAGGAATGGACCCAAATGGACGAAACTTGACAGTATTGACCATGATAAGATCAGCAACTGGCATCATAACCTGTTCCTCCATTTCATCGTATTTCCCTTGCAGTTCCAATGCCCATGTGCACTCGCCGCAATTGTTACACCCCCAGTGCGTCTTTCAGTACTCTTCTCCAAATTTCTGACGCGAAGCTTCGCCATAACTGTTTGTGCCCTGATCCCTGGTTAACTGCTTCATGCATAGTAAACAGCTGTGCTACATCCTGCCTCCTCGTCTCGCCATCTACGTCACAAGCTATCCCTCCAGCTCACCGATTTCGTTTGCAGTGCAGAAATCTGAAGAACATGAGCCCCTGTGCACCCAAGGCAAAGGTTACAAATGAGTTTCTACCACCCTTTCGATACTTCATCCAACCAGCAGCAATCAGTCACCGGCTCCCAATGGGAGTGATTCCATGAACTCGCTCCGTTGCCTTGCGGGCAGACTACTCAGCCAAAGGCTCGGGGTGGTATCCCCTAAGTCAAAACCCTACTTCGGCTTGGGCAACCGGGTAGTATCTTGTCCTCTGACGAAACCATGGACTTCGATGTGTTTTGTTGTTTTCTTTTACTATTTCTGTACCTTCTTTTGAGTCCCATGGTTTCTGGTGGTTCTATTCTCCTAAGTGCTGGTTTTTGACTCTACTGAGCGATAAAAATAAAGATCTTCTTCATAAGATACTTGTGCTGGCTTGCTGAACCTCCTCGTGGTGCTAGCTGGGTGGTTCGGGAGCATCCCGTTCCAGCAAACAGTTCGACAGCAGTGTTCCAGGACATGGTGGGTTTCCGTCTGGTAAGCGTCCTCTCTATAAAAAGCCCCACATGTCCGTTTAACAATACTGCGACGTGGCGGATGTGACTCGTTACTAAATAAAGTCGCTGCCCCTTGCTTCACTCCGTTGGCGCATTGTATCCAGCAACGCGAAGCCCGAAATGTGGAGGGTTGAGCCGCTGTTTGTTATCTGACCAAACGAAGGGTGTATGAACTGAGAAATCAGTCACCGGCTCCCAATGGGCGCGATTCCCTGAATACGCAGCACTACTTGCGGGTAGGCTATTTTGCCAAAGGGTCCGGGTGGTCTCCCCTAAGTAAACGCCTCACTTCGGCTTGGGCGACCGGGTAGTATCTCGCTCTCTGACGAAATCACGCATTCCTCTGTGTTCTGTTCTGTTATCTTTTTAGGACAACTGTACCTTCCTTTGATTTCCATGATTTTTGATGACTTCGTCAATTCGTAGACAGATGCAAATATAATAATAATAATAATATATTTATTCACAGTCTGTTAACAGACATTGTGCCATCAGAACCATGGCAGAAGAAAAAAGTGAAGAAGATGGGGACACTAATGCGATTAAAAATATGGGAAACGAATTTTTTTGGGTTTTACACACGCCATTTTGTATTTTTTGTTTTGTTTTGTGTGTTTTTGTGTGTATCAAAGGGATGGTGAAATTGCGGAACAACATTGCCGCCACTGATGTCTGTTGCGGGCCATGACGTCCAATGTTTCCAACCACTGCAATTCAGCATCTCGTGGTCCCCAACCTGGAAGGCGGACTGGTCCGACTGCTGCCAAACTTGAGGTCGCCTTCTTCATACTCCTTCTCCACGTCATCGGCTGTCCACCGCGGCACTTTTTCCAATCGCTCCCTGGGAGTGCAAATAGCGCTCGACGTGGAAGGCGATGGGCTGGCATGCGCAGAACATGCCCGAGCCAGCGCATGCGATGTCGGAGAATAACGTCTTGAAGACTGGCACTATTCGCCCCAAGCACGCGGTCTCTCACCTCTGCGTTGCTTATGTGGTGTTGCCACCACACCCTAGCAATCCTTCGTAGACAGCGATTATCAAATACTGATAGCCGCTTCATATCTTCCGAGCGAATAGGCCAAGTCTCACAGCCGTACAAGAGTACTGCACGGACGGAAGCATTGTACACCCTGCCCTTGAGCTTGAGACTGACATCACGACGACGCCATAGATGTCTCAGTTTGATGAATGCAAGGCGGGCCTTTGCAATCCGTTGTGAGACTTCATCTCCAACACCGCCACCAGCCGTGATGCAACTCCCTAGGTAAGTGAAGCATGGGACTTGCTCCAGAACATGTCCATCAATGGTGAGCGCGGGTTCAGGCACCTGCCAATCCTGGAGCAGCGTTTTACATTTTCCCGGAGTGAAGCACAGGCCGTACTTAGACGCCTCCATCGCCAAGCGGTCCAGAGCGTTCTGGACGGATTGTGGGTCGTCCCCCAGCAAGGCGATATCATCGGCGTAGTCCAAGTCCGTGAGTCTGTCTCCAGGGAGAAGCTCAACACCGCAGTCCTGGACACCTTCCAGTGCTCTTTGGAGAACATCTTCGATGGCGAAATTGAAGAGGAAAGGTGAAATAGGGCAACCTTGGCGAACACCACTGGTCACAGCGAATGAAGAGGAGTGCGTGCCGTAAGCCCTAACTTTGCCCGACGTGTGACTGTAAAGTACTTTCAGGATGGTTACAAACTTGTCGGGCACACCTTTCTTCAGTAAACAGTTCCACAACACAGATCTATCTACTGAATCAAATGCCGCTCGGATGTCCAAAAACACTACGATTGTTGGCCGCCGGTGGATGTGACGAAGTTCGAGAACTTGCCGAAGCGTGAAGATTTGGTCGATGCAGCCACGGCCTGGACGAAATCCAGCTTGTTCTTCTCGGGAAAACTCCTCTCTAGTCGTTGAAAGCCTGCCAAGTAGGACCGACACGAAGATTTTGGATGCGACAGAGATTAGAGAGATTCCGCGGTAGTTGCAGCAATCGGCGCGGGAACCCTTCTTGTGAATCGGGACAATGACCGATTCTCCCCATGAGCTCGGAACCTTCTCCTCAGTCCAAACTTTCGTGAACAGCGATAGGATTTCGCTGATAAGTACACTCCCACCATCTTTGAATAGAGCTGGTGGTAGGTTGTCAGGACCCGAAGCTTTGTGGCGTTTCAAAGATTGGACTACATTTCGAATCTCTGTTTCATTTGGGGGGGCTGTGGAGACAGGCCAAGCATCATACATTGGGGCTGGAGGTGTCGCAGGGGACTGTGTTGGGTGGTTGAATTGAAGAGCGAAATGCTCTGACCAGCGACCCAATCGTCTGCGAAGGTTGGTGATCTTCGTGCCGTCTGCCTCGCAAATCGTCTGGCTGATAGCGTGGAAATTGCAACCAGTGGCCCTGATGATGTAAAACAGACGGCGGAAGTTGCCAGCTGATGCAGCGGCTTCCATCTCACCAGCTTGTTTTGACCACCAAGATTCACGATCAGAGCGAAGGCTTGCTTTCAGCTGTTGCGTAATAGACCGGCGGTGTTCGTTGTACTCTGCGCCAGCAGGCACCGCCCGTCGACGATCCAGCAATTCTGATGATCTTCCCGAGATCCAGCATTTGGGAGTGGAGCGAGTGAGGCCACAGCTGGACAAACCGGCCGACAACAAGGCTTGCTGGAGACTTGACCAGTGTTGATCAACATCCAGAGTGTGAGAGAGAGGGAGCTTTTCGCAAAGCTTTTGTTGATAATCTCTCTTCACCATTGGGTCCTCCAACTTGTAGGCGTTCAGTCGGGTGTGTTTTGACCTAGGCGAACCACCAAAACGCATGCAAACGGTCGCACACACCAGTGCATGATCGGTGTCGACGCATGTTGACCAAAATGATCGGCAGTCGCGTACACTGCCGCGCCACCTGCGACTTTTAGCTATGTGGTCAATCTGTGACCAGCGCTGGGTTGATGATGGGGGGCGCCAAGTGGCGTACTGGCGTCCAGGATGACGAAAGCTGGTGCTGGAGAGGAATAGTTGATGATCAGCACAAAGACTGAGCAGTCTCTCTCCATTGTCTGAGCGAACATCATCATATCCATGCGGTCCTCCGAGGTGGCGCTCACATGGCAGCAGACGACCGACACGCGCGTTGAAGTCACCTGCCAAAACAATGATGTCTGTTTTAGGAGCCCTTAGGAGCAGCTCATGAAGGTTCTGGTAGAACTGGTCTTTGACGATGTCTGAGCTACAGTCAGTGGGCGCGTAGGCAGAGATCACGAAGAGAGCACGCTTTTCGACTCGACATCTGCTGACCTTACAAGAGCCATGGAGCCTCATCGCACAAAGGCGGCTATTGATCGGAATCCAATCAATCAAAGCAGTCTCGGCTCTAGCGCTGAGGGCGATTCCAACACCAGCTTGCCCAGATGCGGCAGACTCGGCGTCACCAGAGGCGGAGATGGAACCGGGTGCGTGAATGGAGCGGTGACACCAGCTGGTAGACCGAGTTAGAGTCCTGGAGTCGTGTTTCAGTCAGGCAGCAGATATCAATTCCAAGGGTCTCTAGCGTGCGTGCAACTCCAGCTTGCTGACCGATCTGCAGTAATGTGCGTACGTTAAAAGCTGCAAGTTTGAACTGCGTTCCGGGTTGCAGGAGCGAAGATAGGCGACTTTGGGGCCGGCAACTCTTTGTTGAGTATTGTGTGGTTGAGTTGGCAGATGTCACGGGAACAGGTTCATCAGTGTAGGTGGGATTGATCGTTGTAAAGGAATCAGGTAAAAATGGGTGTGAATGGTACACGGGAAGAGTAGGTAAAATGGTGGCGTGTGCTTCATATCCCTCAAAAGGTTTGTTGAATCGCACGAACTTGTACCTCAAGCTAGGAGTACTACACCTAGCTACCCTAGTTTTATCTCATGTGCAAATTTCGCTTAGTACTCGCTTGTAACAGTATTTCTTTAGCAGTTTCGTTAAACGGGGCGTCACAACATAAATTTCATTTAAATTGTTACTTCGGATTTATTTATGCTGCCGATCCAATTGAGAAAAATATCGGTTCAAACCAAGACTTTACCCATGGATAACATTACAGCACTTAGACGTGAACCCTGTACAGTTATCAAATCTCATCGCAAGAACACTCACAAGCTGTCGAAAAATAAACATAATTACGTTGTCATTAAGAGTTGGGAAGCAGTGTCAACAGTGTGTTCACTGTTTTCCTCGTAAACAGAAAATCCGTTAAATAGATTTTTCATGCGTGCAATCGAGTCCGGTCAGGCCTCTTCTCACGTTTTAGTATCTTTTTGTGTGTCTAGCTAGCCGTAATTTTACCAATCGGTAAATACTCGCATGGAAATTGGCAAAGAAATTGTACCGGACTGGACCAGACAGCGAAGTTCAATCAGTGCGCGTTTAGCTGAAGCCCGATGATGTGTGGACAAGGTGGGGGTTGAGTTCCCGGTTCCTTAAGATCACGACACCCCGATGCGAAGGAGTCGCGCCTCCTCATGTTCCGCATTGTCACATGAGCGAAATCCAGGACAGTGAAACAAAAAAGAGAATAAAGATGAAAAAGGCTGGTACTGGACATACAACAGCTGTGTTTCGCTGAGAAGTTGGAACACTTTCGGGTGACCAGGTAAGAGGATTTTGTTGAGCTCATGGGTTCAATTCACGTAGAAAGCATCAAGGAGACAATAGTTTCCAGTCATGGTAAGCATGCTTCCAAACCGTGTCTGACTGAGCATACGCAGTGAGTGAAAGCACATGAGGTGAAACATGTGACTCAAAAGCGCGGACAACGTGGGGTAATTCTTACTAAGCCCCGTGATGCGACGCTAGGTATGCCAACAAATGAGAACCGGCGAGACTCATTGTTAGGTTGGTCCAAGTAGAAGTAGATAGAAGCACGTGAATGATCAAGCTTTCAGCACAGACAGCTGCATAATCATCAAAGATGAGGTTGGTGATCTATACATCATCAGCGAGTAAGTGAGTCTGTGTGGCTTGCGGCTGCACAGTTCAGTTGAACAACTAGCACCCGACTATCGAAATGCTCGATAGTAGCAAACAGATGTAAGGAAAATGGAAACAAGAAGGAAGTGCGTTAAACTAATCAGAATGGAACGAAAATCAACGACTAGATGCAAGAAACCGAATACAGGAACGCCACTGACTGCGTGACTGCGGCATGTCTGATACGGTCTCCAACCATTAGCATAGGCCGTCCCGAGGCTTCCATCCACGAAGACGGTGCGCACCAGTCTTTCAGTCTGCTGACCAAATCACTCAGTCAGCAGCTCATTGGTCTAACAGCTTTCCTGACCATTTCAGAGCGTGGTGAGATGCTAAAGAATATCTCATCGGGTCTACGACATAGGCCCGAGGCCTACAGCATATTGGTAATTGGCGTATTCTTGCATTTCGGGACTCCCATCACGCTACCATGTTTATGAGAAAGAGGTTAGAGCATGTTAATCAATGCTTTGTAAGGTAGTGTGTGGAAGCCATTTTCAGGGTGGACAAAAAATGTCGATGAGTTAGAGCGCACTAGTACAACTGGTGCCATCAGTAGATGGTGAGGGATTAAAGACCGTGGTTTCTTGGATAAATCCATAATTATAAGTTTAATCTTTGAGCTGCATCTTTGTCTTTGGTTTTCCGACATAGCTCCATCGAAATGCAAAACACTTCTCCAAGATTGGCAGGGACCCAACCCTGCGCTAACGCTTGGTGGTGATCTGCTAGAAGTCGTTCAGGAATTCAAGTACATGGGCAGCTATATTAGCACCCGTGGGATTGAAGATGAGGTTACGAACCGTATAGCAAAAGCTCGAGGTGCTTTTACCAATCTCCGCCACCTGTGGCGCAGACGCGACATTACTCTCGCCTTGAAGGGCAGAGTTTACAACGCAGCCGTCCGTTCAACTCTCCTATATGGCTGTGAAACCTGGCCCATCAGGTCGACAGACATGAAAAGACTCGTCACATTCGATCATCGCCGCCTTCGCAGCTTAGCTCATGTCTGGTGGGAACACCGCGTGAGCAATGAGCGTGTTCGACGTCGCGTATTTGGTGCAGGAAGAGCGAGTGAAGAGCTCAGCACCATTATATCACGCACCAGGCTCCGATGCCTAGGCCACGTGTTGCGCATGCCAGCACACCGACTCCCGCGACGTGCATTGTTTGCGCGTTGTGGGTGCGGTTGGAAGAGGAGGAGGGGAGGCCAAGTGATGACTTGGTCGAGAGAAATGAAAACCCTCACTTCGAAGTTGGCGTCGGTTGGTGCATCCCGACTGCCTGGCTGGGGTCCTAAGGACGGTGAATACGTTTGGTTGGACACACTTGCTGATATGGCTTGGAGCCGACCCAATAGCGTTTGTGTGGTGAGTTCCTTTGTCCATCCCCCTCCTGTTTAGCATCCCCCTCCAATCACGATCTCAATCGTTAGGCATAATATAACTTTCTTTTACGGCAGCCAGCTGTTAGCTCTCCGGAACTATGTCCATCCGTTACTGGGGACTCAGCGGGCGTGCCACTGTTTGTTTTTTCTTTTCTTGCGTTTTGGATTGCGGCACAATAGCTGAGGTGTTTTCCACCTCCAGCTAACGTGTAGTGATGATGATGATGATGAACACCGAAATGCTCATAATGCGTTCAGCCTCTACCAAAAAACAGAGGTGACCAGTACCAGAGTATCCTAACGCGCGGATGTGGTCGACGCCCCGAGTAAACAAAAGGGGCTACCCAGATGTGTGCTCAGAGTGAGCTTCATTGATGTATTCGGTTTTGTTATACTGTCCGATATCCGCAGTCGTGCAAGTGCAGCTTGCTTCTGTAATTATGAAAGGTATGGTCGTAATGAAATCCTACTGAGTGATGGCCGTGCCCGTATCCGTAGACAGATAGGGGCGAATGTAGTTAAAGGGAAGAGCAGAGCATTACTGACACAGGGTAGCAGTTGTGCCCACAATCTAGTGTAGCCGTCCTATGATTAGCCTGCCATTGTAGCTGCAACAGAGTCGTGGGTAGTTTGCCACGGCTCCAAACATATACCATACGCCCAGCGTAAATCCGAACATTAAAACTGCGGGCTATTTACATCAGAGGCGTCAGCAACTCCGGGGTTTGCCTGGACGTCTCAAAACCGCATTATTATCTGCGAAAAATGTTCGCAATCGCACCAGACCGGGTGGTACTTCAAAGAAAAAGTAATTAGAGGGATGAAGTAGGTAGGGATCAACTTCGACTGGATTGGGTGAATAACAATGTTTACAATGAACAAGAAAGTTGTTAGAGCAGTAGTGGGCCTGCAGATGAGGCATTCTGCGATTATGCAATCTGATGCACACGGGAGTGCAAAGTTCATGTCGGATACTGTTAGGTAAGAAATCATACTCGATTATTAGGTACACGATTAGCTCAGAAAGGATGTAACAGTTACACAGCTTGTTCATATGGGCACATGTTGGGACCAGTTTGCTCCCCAGGACGATGCCTACACTGCCCATGAATAGCGTACAAAACTCACGTAGTGGAGTCCAATTGATAGTTGGCAAAAGGATAGCTAGGAGTAAGTTTAGATAAGTTACAACGACGGAACTGTGGACGAGTTAGACAGAGTGATGAAACTACATGGATCAGTGCGTCAGTAAGCAGAGTGGGTTGAAACGGAGTAATGGTCATCACATCGAAACAGCAAAGGTAATGAAGAAGGCGATGATGTAACTCTGTCCGAACGGTGTTGTACTGTGTTCGTTAAGGAAATTGGAAGGCGTTGGCATGTAAAGGGATCAGCAGTACGCCGGTAACGACGCTTCGCTGTCACGTAACCATAATCAGTTAGACGTGGGCTAAGGATACCCCGAGGATTGTACAGTCCCTACGTAGGTTCGAAACCGAGGGCATCAGATCACGCGACAAGCTTGTAATCATTAAAACTACGGGCCGGCACTGACAAGTAAAGAAGTTAACAAAAGCAAAAAAGAAGTCAATTACGCACTTGAAGTCGGAGGCGAGGGAATCGGAACCGACGCTTGTGTTGCACAAAGAACTGCATAAGGAAGGCCAACCGATACTTCTCCACGTCGGCAACATCAACGGTGGGATCCTCCAATTTCAGTCCCGCCATTTGGTAAGAGGCTGTAGGGGAGTACGAGAAACAGTATACCACAAGATAAACTGAGATCATGAAAGGCTCTAACTAGTATATATATATATATATATATATATATATATATATATATATATATATATATATATATATATATATATATATATATATATCACATGTGTACAGACATTGTGCCATAGGGACCATGACGGAATGGAAAACAGGGTTAGAATAAAAGAAAACGAACAATTTGTGCCCATTTTTCTCTCGTTTTTGTGTTGTTTATTGGGGCAGGGAAAAAGAATCGCCGTAACAAGCAGATACACGCCCGCAACTGAGTTCGGTATCGAGCCATGACTTGCAAACTTTCCAACCAACTACACTCAGCATCCTTGAGACCCCCTCCAGGGAGTCAGGAGGAACTAACTGTGGCCAGCTGTTCTGTCAGGTTTTTTATCCTGCTACTTCAAGTAGTAGGCTGTCCGCCACATCGCCTCCTCCAACATTGTCCAGCGACCGCGAACAAGGCACGACGCGGAAGACGCTGAACGGGCATATGCAGTACGTGTCCGAGCCATCGTAATTGGCGCAGCGAGACAAGCGCATCGAAAGAGTGGCTGCCTCCACCAAAGGCAGGCGTTGGTTACGTAGTTCAGACACTACATACGGGCGATGAATCGCAAGCAACAGATCTCGAAGATATACAGTCGATGTAGGTCGTCAGTAGGAGCAGGCCAAGTCTCGCAACCGTACAACAGCACAGTGCGGATAGTAGCGTCATTATCATACACATTAGCTAGAGGTAGGAAACACCTCAGCTACTGTGCCGCAATACATTAAAGAAAAAAGGGGAAAATGCAACAGGCGCAAGCCAGCTGAGCTACCGGTAACGAATAGACATCGTTCCGGTAACCTACCAGCCGGCTACTATGCAGCAAAAAAAAGTAAATGTGCAAAATTATATAAAGCTAAATAGTGAGATCGTGGTTGGAAAGGGAGGCTAAGAGAGATGGGGTAGGACAAAGAAATTCACAGCAGGAACGCAACTGAGGTCGTCTCCTAGCCATGTCAACAAGTGTATCCAGCCAAACGTATTCATCGTCTTCCGGACCCCAACCAGGGACCCGAGACGCTCCAGCCGAGGCCAGCTTCGAAGTGAGGGTTTTCACTCCTCTCGACCAACTCATCGCTTGGCCACCCCTCCTCTTCTTCCATCCACACTCCCGGCGCGCAAACAACGCACGCCACGGGAGTCGGTGGGTTCGCATGCGTAACACGTGGCTGAGCCATCGGAGCCTGGTGCGTGAAATGACGGTGCTGAGCGGTTCATTTCCTTTTCCTGTGCCGTAAACAAGACGTCGAACATGCTCGTTGCTCACTCGGTGTTTCCATCAGAAGTAAGCCAAATTGCGAAGGCAGCGGTGCTCGAACGTAAGTAGCTACTTTATGTCCGTTGATCTAAGGGGCCAGGTTTCACAACCGTACAGTAAGGTCGAACGTACCGCTGCATTGTACACTCTACCCTTCAGGTGAAGAGTGATGTCGCGCCGGCGCCATAAGTGGCGAAGGTCCCCACCAAGGGTCAGCAGAGGAGGCGGTCCAGGTCAATCTTGGAGGAACTCATTACACTTCGAGGGTGCAAGGCAAAGCCAGAAGTGACGGACAGTCAGTGCTAATCCGCCCAGTGCAGCTTGACACGTTTGGGAGCTGTCACAGATTAGGGCAATATCGTCAGCATACTCCAAGTCAAGAAGTCGTTCTCCTGGGAGCAGATCCCCACCTTCTAAGTCGTATCTTGTAAACGCGATTTCCATGACTTCGTCAACAGCGAAGTTGAAGAGGAAAGGTGACAGTGGGCATCCTTGTCTCACACCGCTGGAGATATTAAAGGGTGGCGACAGCTTGCCGTAAGCCCTCATTCTGCCCGTGCCACGCGCATATAATGATCGTATAATATTTACATATTTCTCGTGCACAGCTTTCTTAAGTAGACAATTCCAAAGGGCACATCGATTAACCGAATCGAAGTCACACTTGACGTCGAGGAACACGACTACGATGGACCGCCAATATGTGTGACGGTGCTCCAACAACTGACGCAAGGTGAAGATGTGGTCGATGCAGCCATGATCCCGACGAAATCCGGCTTGCTGCTCACGAATCTGGCTTTCACGAGAGCCAGTCAGTCTGTGAGGGATTACAGAGGCAAGCAATTTGGAGGCGATGGAGATCAGACTGATTCCTCTATGGTTGCCGCATTCCGATCGTGAGCCACCCTTGAAAATTAGGACTATGACGGAGCGGCTCCAGTCGGTTGGGATGAGGAGGATCATCTGGTCCAGCGGCTTTGTTCAACTTCAACAGTCCGATCTCACGTTCGACTTCTGAGCGAGAGGGTGGATCCAAAGGGACAGCCTACGAAGCGGGGCGGTCAGTGGCCGGCGAGAAATCTAACAATTCCGACCGATTAAATTAATATTCAAAGTGCACAGCGCAACGCTCTAAGCGTTTTGACAAGTTGTGGATAGGTCGTTTACTCTCGTCACAAATTGTTTCACGAACACTAAGTCTCCTGCTGCCCGGTTCCCTTATCAGCCGGAATAACTTACGATGGTTGCCAAGGGCAGCGGCCATTTCTATCTATGAAGCACGATGAGACCACCAGGATTCGCAGTCTCTCTTCAGGCTAGCACGGAGTTTTGCCCGGAGCTTTTTGCGAGTTTCATTGTGTTCGCTTCCTGCCGGGACATACCGGCGAGCATCGATAAGTTCCAGAGACTGTGAAAAGACCCAATGTCCATGTTGGCTATTAGACATGAGGATTTTCCTGCTGCTAGTAAGGTCTGGTGAATATGGGACAAGTGAGCTTTAATTGCATCCAGGGAGCGCTTACTCAACTCGCATGACAGCGTACTTTGATAGGCATTCAGAACAGCTGGCTTCGCCAGTCTGCCGGTGTCAATGCGCTCACAACGATGTCGTGAGCATATGCCAAAAGGCATCCGCAGGTCAGCACATACAAGTGCATGGTCGGTGTCCACATATGTGCACCAAATCGAGCGACAGTTCTGGACGCAGCCTCTCCATCGGTAACTCATCGTAATGTGATCGATTTGCGTTCATAGCTGGTTGGAGGCTGATGGGCACCAAGTCACTCTCCAGCGGGTGCTGTGTCGGAAATTAGTGTTCGCAAGAAATAAGCGAGCATCTTCACAATGAAGTAACCGCTCACCGTTTTCATTACGGGAGTCAACACCATGTTGGCGGCCCAGATGCAGTTCCTCAGTGGATAATTTTCCAACTTGAGCGTTCAAATCCCCAGCCAGCACAAAGGTGTCCGAGCTCCTTCTGTGGACATGGGCTTGTCGACAGGGCAGGAATGACAATCCGCGTTCACATGTGAGTTAAAACTAAAAGGTAAAAGACTATCAAATCAAGGTAGAGGAGAGCCAAGAATTGGGGGAGGGGTTAAAAACAGGGGGATAAAAGTGAAGCTGGAACGGGACGATAAGGGTGAAAAAGAGTAAGAGGGGGAATAAGAAGGCTTGAGCAGTAGCATTCAAACCCCTATCCATCCTGCTCGATGCAGCAGATAGGGCACCGTTAATTATCCTCTGCGGTGGCCAGAGCATCAAGAAATTGTTTGACGGAAGATTCATGGTATTGCGTGGGCAGGATACTGTCAGGTTTCCCAGGCCTAGACAGGAGAACGATTAGGGTTCTCAACCGAAGCTTTTGGCTCAAAAACCTGACCGCAAATCAGCGGGTTTGGCTTTGTGCTAGAAGGAGTCCGTTTTATTGACTAAGGAGCCATCCTCATTCCAATCCCCAACCTGGAGGACTAGGAGGCAGAGTCTGTCTGGCCTCTAACCATTGACTAATCTGGTATGAGGGGCTCCGAAGGTGCAAGAAAGGACCACCCAGCATAACTCAATGGAGCTCTGGAGCACGCAAACTATCGCACTAAGGTAAGATCCAGCCTCATTGCGGACAGTAGCAAAATAAACCCGTTCTTTGATGGAGAGACGGATGTCATGGCGGCGGCTTGAATGCCTCAGCCTGGAGAAGACAAGACAAGCTCTTGAGATACGTACCGAAATCTCGTTTCCAACAGCTCCACCAGTAGTTATGCAGCTTCGCAGGTAGGGAAAAACTCTGTACCACTTCTAAGGTTTCCCCATCGATGGTGAGTGCAGGTAGGGGTGTATACCAGTCATTGAAAAGCGCTTTGCACTTGGATGACGAAAAGTGCTTGTCATCCTTCGACGCTTCAATCGTCAAGCGGTTAAGTGCAAGTTGGACGGCCTGCGGATCGTCACCCAAACAAGACGATTTCATCATTGTAATCAAAATCAACCATCCGACTAGCTGGGAGGAGCTCAACGCCAATGTCTTCTAGGGCATTTTTGAGGTCATCATCAATGGCAAAATGGGAGTGGAATGGAAAGGTAGGGCATCCTTGTCGAACCCCATTGATGACAACAAAAGAAGGCGAAGTTTGCCATAAGCCCTAACTCTACCCGAGGTCAGACTATACAGAGCACGCAGAATGGGAACGAACTTCCCAGGAATACCATTCCTCAACAAAAAGTGCCACAATGCAGCCTTGTCGACAGAATCGAAGGCAGCACGGATATCCAGGAACACAACAATTATTGGCTTTAAATACACGTGGCGGAGCTTGAGGATCTGGCGGAGTCTTAAAATCTGATCGATGCAGCCGCGATATGGGTGGAACTCAGCCTGTTCTTCTCGATGTAGTGATTCAAGTGTTGGGGATAGCCTGCGAAAAAGGATGGACACCAGAGTCTTACAAACGACGGGAACCAAATTTACGCTCCTGTAATTGGAACAATTTGTATGCAGGCACTTTTGTAGATGGGGACGACTATCGACTAACTCAAGGACGATGAAACCCCCTCTGTTGCCCAGAGTCCTGAGAACAAAGCGATGAGTTCTCGAGCCAGTGAAGAACCCCATCTTTAGATAGATAAGGTAGACCATCAGGGTCGGATGTCTTATAACGCTT